TCCTTTGTACCAATACCCTTCAGGGCCCTGCAGGGTCCCGCCACAGCATACATTCTGAGAGTTTGTTTGAGGCATATAAATATAATAGAAGTCATAGTTCGAAATTAAGTTGGAGCATGAAGATTGGGGTGTGATTGCTAAGAAAAAAAGCACATATTAAGTTCCTGAAGTGAGATAATCACAGGCTTGTGATTATTCACTCAGAAACCATTTACTGAGCCCCTACTATCTGGGCTAGGCAATGGGATACCACAGTGAGCCCTGCAAATAGAAGCCCTGTGCTACCAGAGCTTACTGCTTACTGTGCGGAGAAATGCGATAAACAGCGTAAGTATATAGTACATTAAACGGAGACAGATTCTGTAGGAAAAACAAAACCAGAGCAATTCTTCAAAATTAAATTCCCAAAGGATAACATTTTCCAACTCTATCAAAGCTAGCAAAGAAAGGAGATTGATATTTATAAAACGTAATGCACACCACATCAGAAATTATTTCATGTTTCCATTAACCCTGTTGATATGATAAATATATTCACTATCTCTACAACCATTAGAGAACAAATTAAAGATGAAGTAGCTTGGGAAAGGGAGCAGCTTTTTAACACTGAAGTGAAATGAAAAATATGCCCTAATGTTTTGTTAGTGAGTTGACAGTTCATGATCAGGAAGACAGTGAGCACCTGCAATAGGGAGGCTGGAAGTTATTTTTATAAAGAATGTCTTTGATTGCTTCCAATTCTATTTATCTCCAGTTGGACAACTAAGTAAAAGTCATTTGAAGAGATGTTTTGTAGTTATGTGGATGCGGGTTTGCATATGTGGATGTTTTCGAACATATAAACTTCATATTTTAATGAATTCAGTCATCTTCATAGAAAACTAAATTGTCCCAATTTTAAATGGAAATATTCTGGAAGGAAGGTATTAAATGAGTTCTTTTATGTGGGAGATGGACTGAGACTGCATTGAGTTATTTAAGTAACTTTTAAAATTTTACCAAGTGCAGGTCTTTAAGTCCAACATTGGCCCGAGTCTTCGGCAAAAACAGCCTAACAAACTCATTGATATTTTTTCCTCTCCCTAGGGCTCCAGTTTGTGTTTTCAGTTGCCTACTAGACCTCACTACCTGGATGGCCCACAGGTACTGCAAACTCAGTGTTTTAAATAACACACTCACTAGCCTCCTTCATCATTGACCCTGTGGCCAAAGCTAGGGTAAGTCACTTGTCGTTGAGTCCTGACTCTCCTTAACATCTAATCTGCTACCAAGTCCTTCTAATGGATACCTAAGGAGCTCTAGAGTCTATGCCCATAAGCTAGTTAGCAGAGCACCTGCTTGAAAGCACTTACAAGTAATAGTAGTATTTTTGCTTCTGTCTGCTCTTCTCTTCCCACTCAGTTACATCTTAGTTCAAGCCTCCTTTCCTGATGTTTATCATCTGGACAATTGATCTATCCTGGTCTCCTCCCTATGTGTATTTCTCCTTTTTAATGAGTTGTTCATGCTGCTACCAAAGTGGCAAATTCTAACTTTTTAAATTTAAGATTTGACACTGACTGGATTAAGTCACTGCCTTTCACAAATACCTTTTTGGGTTCAGTAGAATGGTACCTGTGTCTCATTAGGTCTGGACCTAAATGGTCTTTTCATCTCACCTTCTTCAGCTTTCCCATTAGGTTCACTTGCGAGAACAGTACTCAGTCAAACCTTAGCTATGCCAAACCTTTAATAAAGTATAAAAGATTAATTATGTTAATTATTAGCCTTGCTTTGAAATGAAAGGGCAAAATTCACCACATAGCTTCTTGGTCTTCCACTGAATATTGGAATATTAACTAGCACTTTATAACAGAGCCTTTCACCAGGCCAACTTTACTGCTCTTCCCTTTTCCCATCTCTCTCATCAGCCAGAACCCACCGTTCTGCCTAAATTCCTTCATTCCTTCATCCACTGATACTGCCATGGTCTTCACTCTGACTGCTTCAGCATTGAATGACTGCAGTAGGATCCTGCCTGGTTCCCTTACCTTCATTTCCCCTGGCCCCTGATTCTGCCCCATTGTATCTCTCATGCCTCACCAGATTAATTTTCCTAAAACATTGCTTGCATTCTGTTTTAGAATCTATAATTGTTCTCTTTTGTAAGTCAATTCAAGCCATACACTCATATTCTGGAATCTCCAACCGTAAATGTCCTCACTGCCTCATTTATTTGTGAAGTCGTCTCCCTCTGGCCGTGAAGATCCTCTGCAGCCTCACTGCTCTTCCTCAGACAACACCCTTCTGCTCTGTCCCTCCCCACCACCCCACTGGAGATCTTTTTCCTGCCCCAGCCCATGCATATCCCTAACAGCTCAGAGATACCTTATCTATATTGCCTTCTCCATTCCCTGAGCTATACCTGTTCACCTTATGGGAGGAAGCTTTGGATGGTTGGAAGAGCACCATGTTTGGTGTCAGTAATGGGATCAAGCTGTTGCTCACCAGTCATGTGTCTTCAGCAGCTAATTTTTTTCTCTCTGAGCTTATATCCTTATTCTAAAGTCAAGTATATGATTTAAATGACTGAAAAAAAATGCTCCAAAAACTTTTGAGCATTATATAGATGTTCAGAGTTGTTCTACTCCACTATTTAATCCTTTATTTTTTTTCCTTTTCACCTTGTGTATAAATTTCCCATTTTCCTAACTTTTTAAGTGTTTTAAGGATAGATATAAAATGAAATATACTTTCTTATCTTATTCAGACCATACCACAGCAAATGCTCAATGAATTCTCCCTGTCAAGAGAATTCATTGAATATAAATATAAAGGATCAGGCTCTGTGGTGAAAGTACAGTATTTGATAAAGTGAGTGAGGGAGTAACAAGAAAAGAGGGTGCCCAAAGAAAAGGGGACTGATTAGGGGACTGGCCAGCCTCAATACTTTTTGGTGCATCCACAGACAAGCTCTGAATGAGACCCACTAGCCAGGCTCTTCAACCTCTTAACACCATGGCAATAGAATTGACTCAGTTTCTTAAGTGTCACACTGTTCTTAAAACATAGTAGGCTCTCAAGTGTTTCTAGAAGTCACTAACCACATGATTTGCGTATTATATATATTTATACACATGCATGTATGGTGCCAATAGATTTGTCTGTCACTGCTTATTTATTCATAGTTTTTTTTTCCCTTTTAAATTTCATTCTTATACAGAGCAGCAGTATGTCTGCTTTGTCTGCAGAGTAGCACTAATGTTCAGATTTGCATTGTGTTTGTGCAGTGTCTAATAGGGGCTACCTGATCACTTGCTGAAGTCATAGGTAGTTCAGGAACTATCTTCTTATTTAGATCGCTACGAAGTTTTCATAAAAATATTGTCCTGTGTATAATACTAAACTTACTCAAATCCTGCTTAAAATTAAAAATAAGTATAAAGAATAATAATTAGTAAATGAGAATTTATTTTATTTTTGCATGGTGTCTTCTAGCCCCTTCTCCCACACCCGACCTCCTTGGAATAAGAAATATGGTAATGGAAACCAGAAATTGATGATCCTACTTAGTATCCATCTTAGCAGAAAAATTTAAACAGTAGTGAGTTTTGTTTGCTAACACTATCCTTGGACAATAAGAATAATCGTTAGGTACTTATAATAACTCTCACTATGTTTAGGTCACTGAGTCAGTTAAAAGCAGACTAATCAGTAAAATACATTTTCTGGTTTTAGAGAGCTTATAATTTACAGTAGATTAAAGGGAATGACAGTAACCCCAGCAAAATAATTAAGAGAAATGTGATTTACTTGTTACCTAAGAAGCAAAAGATACATTTTTCTCCAAAGTAAGTCATTAAAGATTGCAATTGTTTATACCAAAGTTGATTTGCTACCATGAAAATGATTGCTTAACCCTGCTCCCTGCATTCACCAGGCGGGCTGGGTGAGTGCTTGTGTTTCAGATGAGCCAGCCTGGCTACAGGAAAAGATATTTGCATAGAAGACTGGGGACATTGCCACACAACAAAATGAAGAATTATGCTTTCAAAATTCCTTTTATTACTGCCTTGATTAAATTGTTGTTTCCAAGGGAATGGATTTTCAGATGAAATTTTAATATGCTTCAGATAATTCCAATTGTGTTCTTTCGTTTTACTCGGCTTTCACAATATGATCATATTTGGTTTCACTTCCTGGTTAGTGCACACAAGCCTGTTGCTGGGAAATATTTGAATAAAGTGTTTATGAGAGAAGACTATTGTTTCAAAGTAGAGGAAGGCATTTTGGTTTGATTTAGACTTAGTTCATGTAGTAATTTTTATAGAAATAAAATTTCTGACATGTAAATTGGTTAAAAACACTCTTTAAAAATAATTTAAAGGACTTATTTGGCACTGAAATTAAGTTACCTTGTGGTGAAATCATCTCGTCTACAGAACTGTTTGATTAGGTACCAGTTGTGCAACAAATGAAATGTTTGTCCATAATTAGAGTAATTGTTACTTGATTTTAAACAGAGGTTTGATTGCATAGTGAGTGTCATAATGCCAAATGATTTTTCCATTGATTAAGGGCCCAGTGTATTCTTAAGTTGATCGTTTGCTCTCAGTGTGTTTAACCTGGCTAGAATATATCTGGCACCCTTTTGTGTGTGTTGTAAATGACTACTCTTCTGTGTTACTTCATACAAAATCTTTGCCTATTCTAAAAGTGGTATTTTTACCATTAAGTATTTAATTCCACCAGAGTACTCAGGTATTACCTAGTCTAAAAAAGTACAAATCAAATTTATTTCTCTTTTGAAAAAGTCAGTTAAGACTTTCAGGAAACGTGTGCTTCCTTAAAATCTAATTGCTTTGTCCATTTGCGTCAATTTACTGGCTAAATCTGAAAGTTTAATTTTTTAAAGCGTAACTATTTTTCTACTCAGAATTTTAATTTTGAAGTCCATCTGTGTTTTATTTCTCAAGGTACCCAGATATATACCCTAATATAAAATTAGGCTTCCTGCTGTCAATCTTGAACTCTCTCTAATGAATTCCTTCTGATGCTTTCAAATTAATTTTCTTGGTATATAATAGTATGTCCTTAAATGTATTTTTCTATCATTCCCTTGCTCAGATACCACCAGTGACTTCCTACTGCTTATATCAAGCCTAAATTCCTCTCTGCTTATAAAAATATTTGAATATTCTAAAAGTGATATTTTTACCCCTAAAGCAATAATTTCTCAGGTGCCTGTTGCATTCTGCGCCTGAGTTATGTCTTGAAAATTTTTTAGTGTGGCATTTGAGACTTACTTAGCATTTGATCCTAATCACCTTTCCACTCTTATCCCTATCATTTCTGTCTCATAAATTCCACTCCATCTCTGTATGTGCTAATTCATTAAATTAACCTTGACTTTCTTTTGCCTTCTTTATTGGTTGTTCCATTCCTCCACATAAAATATTATGTGCCCTGTTACTAACCACCCCTTTTTACCCCTTATTCCTTCACCCCCTAACTATATAAATCTTATGCGACTTTCTTGGTCCAACTCATAAACCCTGTGCAGTGACTATTGTTCTTCTAGCATATATTACCTTAAGATGTAACTGTGTAATTCATTTGTTTGGTCTTGTACTTATGCCTTCTTTCACCAATGCATAAGCTCCTTTTGAGATTTAGGTCTGAGTGTGACACCTTTCTATTGCCTTCATCAGCTGGGCCAGTTCTTTGCACCCAGCAGAAGCCTCATCATGATTGTCGAGTACACCTAGTGTCAGAGCATGTGCAAGATGTAACATTTCCACTTTCTCTTGGTGCCCCATGACACCAGTTGGTGTCATACAAGACCCTCTTCATTTCTACCTTTCTTCAACTGACAGAGACTAAGTTGTTGCCTTCCTTAAATGGATAAGAGTCTCCACACAATAAAAACAGATGGTATTGTCAGATATAAATAGGTAAATATTATTTTGTGTGTGTGGGTGAGAGAAAAAAGACAGGAAAAAACTACACTTGTAGCTTTCTTGGCACAATCTTTTTGCCTTTCAAATTTGGTTGCTAAGAAATAACCATAGATTCGTCTACTGTGTATAAAAGAGAAACACAGAGACTCTTGTGTGTTTTACAGCCAATTTTGTCACTGAGCTATGACAGAGCCTCACCCGGATTTAGAAGTCATGTGTCAGACTTCCAGATGGGGAGTCTATCTTTTGTCTCCTGGAAAACCATTGTTTCCAGAGGGCCCATGTTTCTCCCCTTTGCTGAGACCAAGTGAAGCTGCAGAATCCTGCTGAGTTATGAAGCCCGAAGCCAACCTAATGTGCAGGAATGACCTGTCACATTTTTTGGAATGTAGGCATTCTATTTGATTCATATTAGTTATTTGTGGGTTATCTTAGAAGAAGCTTACTCTGTCACTTCAGAGTGCCCAGAGCTGCACCAACTTATTCTGAATGCCACGGCGGAGCTAAATTCGTCTTCTCTGCTGATGAGGCTCAAATGGAGTCTTTAGTCTCTGCTAAAGGATTCAGGAAGCCTTGCACGTCACATAGAATTTGGGATGTGAATTGAAGGTAAGAAGGTATGAAGATTGTAAGATACTTTTGCAGCTTTTGCTTCCAAGCAAGGAGGTCTAATTAAAACTTTTGTATCTGTTAAATTAATATTTACTAGCAGCTTCTACAAGCTAAGCCCTGGGATGCTATGATAAGCATGATACATGTAGACCAGACCTCAGAGAGAAATAAACCTTTAATCAAACAATTACTTATAGGTTTGTGATAAATGTTATGAAAGGAAGGGATAGAGAACTACAGGAGTATGTTGTGAAGTGACCTGTCATGTCAAGAAGGTGTCCCTTAGGAAATAACTTTATTAGTCGTTGATTCAGGGCATCAATGACTTAAACGACTGCCTTGTTTTGGCCTTGAAAGCAAGCTTGACCTTTTAAGTGAACTATCTGGCACTGTTTGAAATTGCAACCGCCAGCTGAAATAAGAATTCGCTCTCCTTATGAGACTTTTCTTATACAGCATCATGTTATATGTATAATAAATTCATATTTGGCCTTTGCCCCCATGTCACATCACAGAGCCCCATTCCTGATAAGAGTGTCCTTTGTTATTCATAGTGAGCCCCTGTTAACCATACCTAAGTTTTGTTTTAATGTGGTAACTCATTGTAGGCACCTGGGTAGCCTCAGGATGGGGGCTGGTCACCAGAGGATCCAACCATGTGATTCCAGCATTGGAACTTTTACACCCACCATCAACGTCTGGAAAGGGGAGAGGGACTGGAGATTTTCAATCACTAACGGCCAATGTTATTTAATCAATGATGCCTACATAATGAAGTTTTCATAAAAACCCCTAAACAATGGGGTTCAGGTAACTTCCAGGTTGGTGAACACATCAAAGTGTTGGGAGGGTGCTGAGGTTGGAAAGAGCAGAGAAGCTCCATCCTCCCACTGCCCTCAAATACCTTGCCTTTTGCATCTCTTCCATTTGGCTGTTCCTGAGTTGTATCCTTTATAATAAATCAATAATGGTGAGTAAGGTGTTTTCCTGAGTTCTGTGAGTTATTCTAGTAAATTATCAAATTTGAAGAGAACGTTATGGGAACCCCCAAATTTATAGTCAAGTCAAACAGAAGTACAGGTAGTCTGGATTCCTGGGACTTGTGATTGAGTTTGAAGCAAACGCAGTCTTGTAGAATGGAGCCCTTTAAACCTGTGGAGTCTGATGCTAACTCTGAGTAGTTTATGTCAGAATAGGATTGAATTTTAGGACACCCAGTTGGTGTTACAGGGAGTGATATCAGAAAAAAAGACATCTCACTCTGCATTTACCCTAAATGTAAACCAGACGTTCTCCCTCTCCAGCTGAAGAGCAAATGGCAACCAGTGATTTTGACTACCAGCAACCATTAACCAAGTCACAAATGTGAAGCATTAATTTAACACCAAGGTAAAAACGGACATTTTACCTGAATCATACGTGACACAAGAGCTTGCTTTTTCAAAACAGACTGGTTTCTCTCTGAATGCGCTTGCCCAGTGTTTCATTCCCCACACCTTCTTCCATGGAAAATAGGAGCTGGAACAGATAAGCAGTGTTAACTGACTGGAATCTTTTAGAAGAGCTTCTCTGGGTTGGGCAGTTAGGCATGTGCACTCCATTGGCACAGTGAGCTAGAGATTGTGCGCATTCTCTTTTTGTCTTTTTCCAAATCCCCAATTAACAGACCTTAAGTGATCCATTATCCATCCATTATTGCAAGGCAGATTTGGAGAATAATTTTCTACTGAGGTTGTTGTTTTGTCACAGTGAAACAAATGACTGACATTCTGTGTTTGGGCCACGTAGTTCTTCTGAACCCCTGGGCCTCAGTGCCGTTTTTGAAGAGTTCTTTTTGACTTCGCAATAGGACCTAAATGTGATGAAATGTCAATGTCTTTGCAACACTTGCTGTTTTGTTTCCCTGGAACCAGAGTGGCATAAATAAAGCTCACTTCCTGGGTTGTTTTGTTTGAAGATACTGTCCCAAGGCCAAAAGCATCCTCTTTTTAAATCACTTTGCTAGTAAAAGCATTAGCTTTCTTTATGAGTTCTCTTTTGCATTTGTTTGCTACTGCAGTGATTTCAGAGTGCTTCCATAATATTTGTTTTACCACTAATATCAATTCTTGAGCCAGTATGATTGTCTGTATTTTAAAGCTGAGGAGATGGAGGCCTGTATTTGATGAGTGACTTAAGCCCATGCAGATAATGGTGGAGGCAGGCCTGGGACTCAGTCCAGTGTTCATTTTCCACACTGCTGCCATGGAAAACCAGCCCCTGCGTCTTACTCTCACTAGTGCGAGGAGTGGAGAAGCAAAATGATACTGTACTCAGTCAGCAGCAGACACATAAATAAAATTTCCTAATTTTTATGTATGTGTTTTTTCCTATATTGTGTGTGCCCCTGCTAGGGCTTGGGGAACGTTGAAATTAGGAAATTTGTACTTACCTAAAACAGCTCTAGAACACTTAACACGGCAACAGATCAGCAAGTAGGGCAATTGCTCTAAGATGTGCAGGGTTGACTCTCACAGCAGTGACTGCTGCTGACCAGTAAGTCAAGAAAACTGGGCCTGGCGTGGTGGCTCACGCCTGTAATCCTAGCACTTTGGGAGGCTGAGGCGGGCGGATCATGAGGTCAGGAGCTCGACACCATCCTGGCTAAGACAGTGAAACCCCGTCTCTACTAAAAATACAAAAAAAATTAGCCGGGCGTTGTGGTGGGCGCCTGTAGTCCCAGCTACTCGGGAGGCTGAGGCAGGAGAATGGCGTGAACCCGGGAGGCAGAGCGTGCAGTGAGCCGAGATTGAACCACTGCACTCCAGCCTGGGCGACAGAGCGAGACTCCGTCTCAAAAAAAAAAAAAATCTGTAAAAATGCCTAGTATCTGTAAGCATAGACACCACTGAAGTATAGATAGAAATAAAGTCAGAGGCTTTGAAAATCCCTTGCCATCACAGCAGGGTTCCAAACTGATTGGAATCCATAAGACAGGCAGCATGATAAAGCAAGAGGTGGCCATAGCTAACTGTGAGGCTGAGTGAGTGTCCACAGTGAGTCACAGGGCGAAGCATCCTGTTGTCATGTTTGTACTGTTCTCAAGTGATCCATGATCACTGTGATCACAGAATTAATAATCCAATCTGCCCTACATTTTGGGGTCAAACTTAGCACTCCTGGGAGGGAAACAGTAAGAGCCAATAAAACATAAAGCAAGAGAAGCTGGAGATCACCACTCTTTCCCCTCACTTCCCAGTGGCAAGCCTCCCAACCCTCCCTGAGACATTGCTTTGTCTTTATAATAAGAAAGCAGCAAGTCAAGAGGTGACATGTTTTAGAAAGAGCTCTCTGGCTGCAGTAAGGAAATGGGACTAAGGAGGGCAAGAGAAGAGGTGATTTCAGAGTCATCCTGCCCAAAGAGGACATGGGCCCCACCCAAGACAGTGGTAGCAAGATTGTAGAAGGAACTGGTTTAAGAGGCCGTTGGATTTGAGGGAATAGAAGAAGAGAAAGTTTCTGGGTTAGGTGCCTGCCTTAGTCTGTTTGTGCTGCTGTAACAAAACACCTAAAACTGGGTAATTTATAAGTAACATAAATGTATTCCTTTCCAGCTCTGGAGGCTGGAAAGTCCAAGATCAACATGCTACAGATTTGGTTTGTGGACCATGAACATGGTATAGGAGTAGAAGAGCAACAGGGATAGAATGAGAGAACTTACCCTTCAAGCCCTTTTATAAGGCACTAAATCCCATCCTTGAGGGCAGAGTCCTCATAGCCCAATCACCTCTTAAAGGCTACATTTCTTAATATTGTTGCACTGAGGATTAAGCTTCAACATGAATTTTGAAGGGGACACAAACATCCAAACCATAGCAGTCAGTGCCTTAGCCCTTGATGTTGCTATCAACCTGAGATTCAGGGATCAAGGAAGGGCAGGTATGATATCTAGGTGTGGGAGGAAACAGTAGATGCAGTTTGGGACATGCTGCTTGAGTTGCTTCCACACATCTCGGTATATAGCCAGGACGATGTTGGGGAGACGATTCTGCAGCTTGGGGTTAGGAAGCTGGGCTCATCATATACACAGAGGTGGTGGATGAAACCTTAAGCATAATGCTCAGGATGTCACCCGAGCATAGCATATGTGTGAGTAGAGAAGCAACAGGCCCAAGACTGAACCCCAATGCTTAAGGGATAAGGTAGTATTAGAAACCTTCCATGGTCCTAATACCTTTTTATCTTCAGTTAAAATTAGTACTTCCTGCTGGGTGTGGTGGCTCATGCCTGTATACCCAGCACTTTGGGAGGCCGACGTGGGACAATCGCTTGTGTCCAGGAGTTTGAGACCAGCCTGAGCAACATTGTGAGACTCCGTCTCTACAAAAAAATCAAAAAATAGCTGGGTGTGGTGGCGTGTGCCTGTAGTCCCAGCTACTCGGGAAGCTAAGGTGGGGTGCATTGAGCCATGACCACAACACTACACTCAGCTAAGTGGCAGAGTGAGACCCTGTCTCAAAAAAAAATATATATATATCTATACACACACACACACGTACACACATACGCACACCCACACACATTTTTGTGTATATGTGAGGCAGAGTGAGTGCCCATAGCAAGCCACATGGTGAAGCATCCTGTTATCCTACTTATTTATAAACATATAAATAAATTTTAAAAATTAGTACTTCCATTATATTGGCTTGGTGACCTTTTCTTGCTATAACCAATTTTTACTCTCTTTTTCAGTGAGACCAATTTATGAGTTGGCAATTGTAGACATTGTACTCCCTTTCTAAGAAAACCTGCACCATTGCTTTTCCTGGTGTTCTAACTTTAAACCCCTTCTCAATCCTCACCACTCCAGAGGAGTCTTTCAGACTAGATATCCCCTAGCTGCAACCACAGTTAATAAACTCATTGCATTGTGGGAAACTGGAAGTAGAGACTCTCTCAATCATTTGCTCTCTCTAACATTACATGTAAGGAAAATTAGGTTAAGTGAGGTGACAAAGCCAACATTATACCATCAGTAAGATGTAAAGCAAGGAGTAGAACTTGAGTTTCCTAACACCTAGTTGGGTATTCATTTGATCAGGTCATGCTGCCTTGTAGTGTTGATCCTTCCCTATATCTCAGTAATGGTTACTTTCCTTCATTTGAACATCTAATCACATTACTACATTCCCATCATCCACCTAATATAGTTCTATGGAGAGGCAGAGCAGCTGTTTCTCTATTATTAACTCATTTGATATGGCTTTTAATATATCTGTCTCATTTGATATATCTTTTAATATGTTTGTCTCATTTGATATGCCTTTATCCACTTGTGCTTTAGGTGAGCAGTTCGACCCCACATATCCAGAGACTATGGAAGTAACAAGGCAATCATGCAAAAATGGGTTTATTACGAAAGTCTCAGGGATACGTGGATGGATGGATGGATTGATCTGTTTGTTTCACATAGGCACCCAGTAAGTGTGTCTACTATCACTAAGGCCAAGGATTGCTATTACTGTCTTATAACCACCTCCCAAAACACTCACACACACACACACACACACACACACACACACACACACACACACCCTCTGCATTACCACCACCCATCCTCCCACCTTCTTATCTTTTCCTTTTCCTCCCTGCCTTTACCTACCCTATTATTGCTGTCCTTGATGCCTTCTGGTGGATTGACCTCTTAACAAAAGATTAACAAGAGGATCAAATACTTTGCATATCCATTAAATTTTTAGTGAATTTTATAAACGTGGAAGCTTCAATTGTTATTTTAGGGAAAAAAAGATCTCCCATATTCAGTTACCTTAATAGTTACCAGAAGATTTTTAAAATTTCTTAACTTCATATATTGCGATTTATCCTTTTTTTTTTTTTTTTTTTTTTTTTTTCTTTCAGAGACTTGATCTCACTCTGTCATCCAGGCTGGAGCTCAGTGGTGTGCAGTCTCGGCTCACTGTAGCCTTGACCTCCTGAACTCAAGCAGTCCTCCTGCCTCATACCCCTGAGTAGCTGGGAGTACAGGCAGGTGTCACTATGCCCAGCTAATTTTTAAATTTGTTGTAGAGACAGGATCTTGCCTTGTTGCCCAAACTGGTCTCAAACTCCTGGGCTCAAGTATCTTCCCATCTTGACCTCCTAACGTGCTGGGATTACAGGCATGAGCCACCATGCCTGGCCATATTGCTATTTAGTAAAGAAGACGTAAACCTTTTCTAGACAAATTTGGGGGATCACATTCCTCTCCCACCCAAATCAGGGTGCTCTCCCACCCAAGGAAGGATGTACCCTTCCTCTGGCTATCTATCATGTCAACCTTAAGTATTTAAAACAGGCAGGCAGCATGGAAGAATTCAAGGTAACAAACAAAATTGATAATTAAATATTTAGTATTTATTGTAACCTATGAATTATGAACAAAGCAAATTCAACACATTAAAATTTTATTTTTTGTGTTGGTATGTTTTCTAGTATATTGAGACCGACAGTATATTTAATTTGTGTAATCCATTTATGTTCATTTTAAAGCAATAAGAACAGTTTTCCTGTTTTACATGAGTATAGATTTTTTTGTGGAGATATATATATGTAACAAAATTTACTTTTTAAACTATTTTAAGTACTTTTTACTTTTTTAAGTATTTTAACTATTTTTAATTCTGTGGCATTGAGTTCATTTATATTGTTGTACAACCATGATTATAGATTTTAAGTCATGACCCTCTGCTTGGGTAACAGTCATATCAGACCTGTCTGCAGCATAAATCTTGATAGACATTGCATCAAAGAGTAGAAGTTACCAGCACAGGTTAACTTTTTAAAAATGTGGCATCAAGGTATATTAAAGATTTCACAACACTTTGCCTTCCTTATGGGCCATATAGTAAATGATTAAGAACAGTTACATTGATATTTCATGACACTTTCTAGTAATGAGTTTTGTGATGTATGGTGAGAACTGGCATGGAAATCACAACTTAGGTGGAAAGCCAAACCTCCAGTATCTAATCTGCTATTTGTTTATAGGATCATACTTTAAAGGCAATCATTAAAGGATTAATTTTAGATAAAGCTACTACTGTGTTAATAAATAACCATGTTTAGTGCTTACACTGTACCTGCTGCTGTGCTAAGCATTTGAATTGTAGTTGCCTCAATTAATTCTTAAAACAACTCCATTAGGTTGAAACCATTATTATGGTTATTATCCCTATTTTACAGATGAGAAAAGTGATAGCTTATCTAAGATCAAGCAGATGGTAAACAACAAAGTCAAACCTCAATCTTAACTATTCTGCTACCTTCCCTTCCAAGTCTCTCACATTTTCATCAGTTTTAGGATAAGAACTAGGCCAAACAAAGTAACACATTGAAAACATGTGATACTCCTTTTTAAAGTCTTTCAAAAAGAAGGTCGTATATGGGTAGTATGGTTTTGATTTATTTTAACCACATTTTAATCGATATGTCTGGAAGAAAAGCCATGTAAAACACTATTATTTAACTGCAGATTAAACTTGGGTTATTCATCTTGTTATTAAATTGTTGGTAAATGTTTCTTCATAAGAGGCTGTGCAAGCAGGATGTACCCTTGCTCTGGCTATCTATCATGTCGACTTTAATTATTTAATAGGCAGCCAGGATGGAGGAAGCACTTGTTGATTCTGTTTCCTAGATGGAATACTGAGCAAAGAGCTAGGAAAACAAAATAGATCTCATTCTTAAATTGTCTCTTTTAGTTCTAAAAGATAGATTGTAACTTTGAGAAAAGGAGAAAGCTGTCACATTCTATATAAAACTCCTTTTTATATAGCTCCTTGGGGAGGCTGTGTACCAGATGGCTCTTAGTCAGCTCTGTTGTGAATGCTGGGTCTGCCTCTGAGCTTGAGCAAGTTTGTTTCTCGGAACCTCAACTTTTTCACCTTTAGAGTCGGCTAATACCTATTTCACCAGGTACACCGTAAATGTTACCCTTCCCCTACCATCACCCCTTTCCATTCAACAGTAATTATTGAGACTGTTAGTGTTACTTCTTCCTGCACACCTGACTCTTCCAAGAGCTCAAAGGCTGAAGCAGGAAGACATCAAATCAGATATTGGTGATTCAGTTTAATGGAAGCATAATAGAACTATCAGTATTCCCTAAATGCTAAAGAAGCATGAAGGACTAACTGCTTGTTTACGGGGACACATAGGGTAGCAGTGTTTGTTTTAAACATATTTTGTGTTTAATAGTCACTTAATACTGAACATTAAACCTTTGTGTTTTGTGGTCAGAAATTAGCTCAAGCACTGGGCTGATTTGCAATGCATAACAATTTGATTTTGTCTTTGGGTTAAGAGTATATTATAGCAGATGTAGCATTCTTTACAGTGATCATTATCAGATGTTATTGATTTTATGAGACTAAAGCAATAAGGACATGCAATATTGGCAGCTCAATCATAGCTCACAGCATTGTGGAATTATAACATTTATGAAGCACCTAATATGTGGTTGACTCTCAGGACACTAGAAAGGTCCTTGCCCTCCAGAGTTCAGGACAAGTGGGCACAGAATTGTATGATATGCAGCATGCTTGTTTGGATGATACCTTGATAATTCCGTTGGTCCCAGTGTTGTTCTTGTTGCATTATACTTAGGTTAACTTGTGGAAAAGGGAATAATTGTGAAATCATAATTTGATAAGATATTAAGGTCATTTTGGAATGCTCTGGCATTTACCCAGTGGTCCAACACTGATTCAAAATGACTCTCAGTCATTATAATGCAGCCACTCAGGCTGAATTGACAGCAGTTTTCCATTCAGATTTGTGAAATGTCCCATTTGGTGAGTAAGTTGGCAAATACAAATTTTTCTCCTTTCTCCCTGAAGGATGAAGACTTAGTCTCTGCTTCTGAATTTCTGCCCCTGCCATGGGGTCTTGGAAATGCCTGAGTCTCTGTCCCTGTCATGTTGCCACCCTTCCATACCCACCATGTGTGTGCATAAGTGGTGTTCACAGATCTTTCTGAGAGCCAGGCCTTCTCCTCTGTACCCTTGGTTCCTAAATGGGTGGTGAAACCTGATCTGCTGTCCTTCATTTACTCAACAGTGATTTACTAAATATTCATGGCACAGAGAGAGACAAGACCGACGCAAGGGGAGTGGGCTTATCACTGATCACTCTGGGCTCTGGACAGGCTAAGGATTTGATGCCACTTCACACTGGTATTCATTAAATATTTGTTCACAGTGTTTTTAAGTGGAGTAGTGAAGCACTGTATGGAAAAAGAGTAGCAAAAGAGCCCTCTGGGTCCTCCTTTTGCCAGTTTCTTACCCAAAGGAAATAGACTCATGATATTTTCTTCCAACCACATTCAATACCATCCTTGAGAAAGGTTCAGTAGGTACTATTTTTGTTTAATCTAGTTAAGTTTCCAGAGATCTAAATGCCCCATTGATGAATCCATACATGGTAGCTGCTATAATATCTAGGACCTTAATCTAGCCCATGAAAGAGACATTGGGATACATCCCTGGGATACCGATAAATGAGATACTGCCCCAGCCCTCAAAGAATTGGAGGCAATAGCTTCACATATATTAATAAACACTGTAAAAGAAATATTAGCAAATGACTTCCTGGAACACAGATGAAGGAGCAACAAATTCAGCCTGTGCTGGTCTGGATGGCTCATAGAGGTGATTCCACTTGATCCAGAATGGGAGAGATGATGCAGTGGGATGTTCTTTTTTTAAATCCATCTGTTATTTATGATTTTGAGATTTTCAAACTGATGAAATGGGAGGCTTTAATTTTACGTAGTCTGAAGCCTTAAACTTATACAATTGCCTGAGGCAGGGTGAATGAGTATGATATTACAGTGATTTCTGCCATAGCTCTCCTGCCAAAAAAGGTCCCAGTGACTATGCCTTTAACCCAGTTCAGGTCCTTTGACCAGAGATTCTTGACATCTTGCTAGATCTTTCCTAAGATTTAACTATCCCTACAAAACAAATACGCCCAAATGGAAAGCCATGCTCAAATTCCAAAATTGTATAGTAGTTCTTTGTGCACTACAAAAAAGTTTGTTTTGTCAAATCCACCATCTCTCCTAACCAGAAAGAAACAAGAACATCAAGAGTAAGATCCTTTGGGGCCTTTTGTTTTTCTATCAGAAAGCTGATTGTTGCTGTATTGTTCCTTAATCCTCAGTCACTTGGGAGCCGTGCCTTGTATGTCCTTCATTGGGAGCCTTCCTTTCAGGAAGAAGCTCTTATTTGAGAAAGAAGAGAATTCTCAGTGTTATACTTATCTCCAAATCTTCCAGAATACCCTTTTATTTTTAGGTTATCTTGGAATTGACTTTTTAAGTTAAAATACACATGTCTTGTGTCCTTCCTCTGGAGAGAGAATGTTTTTGAAGGGGTAGATCAGCTAGTTGTGTAACACTCATTAGCATAGCAAGCTGGCGGACGTGCTGACGCAGGCCGCCTGCCTCAGCAGCTGGGTCGGTCAGAATTGCTGTAACAATCTTTGTCCTCTTTTTATCCTGCCTAATATGGACTATTTATGCTATTCGAAGAAGCATTGTCATTTAGTATTTCACATTTCATTCTTCCAACTTGGTACTTTTGTGTTCTGCTAAGGAGGAAGAAAGGTGATAAGTTTAGTTATAGTTTCTAAAATTGGTTTGAATGATTTGGTTTTATCCTGAATAAAGAAACTCAGCTACATTTTGTTATTTACTTTACTTGACAGCAGTGGCTTCACCCTGAGATGACAAATTTTCATTACGAGAGAGCTGTCATTGAGCTCTACATTTATATCTTCTCAGCAAAATATTCCTCCGGTTTAGGTAAATGTTAAATAGGAGAGAGGAATGAAATGTATTAGTAAGTATGCTGAAACATGTTCAATTCAACTCAAAGAAATGCCAAATAAAGCAACAATAAGATAATTTTTCACATAGGAATTAGCAAAATTTTTTAATAATGATTTCTAAATCTGGTGAGGTGTTACTCATACATTGTTGACAGGAAAGAAAATTGGTATAACCTTTCTGAGAAATAATTTGATGCTGTATATCAGAGGCCTTAAAATGTTTATGCTCTTTTGACCTAATTCCTTCATTTTGGAAGTATATGCAAAACAAAACAAAAAAAACATATGAAGAGTACAGAGATGTTTACAACATTATTAGTATTAAAAAAAAAAGGAAAATTGAAAATTTAGTAGGGGAATGATTTCGTAAACTAAGACATATCCATGCATGAACTATATGCTTCCATCAAAAATGATTCTTAAAGAAACTTCGGCCGGGCGCGGTGGCTCAAGCCTGTAATCCCAGCACTTTGGGAGGCCGAGACGGGCGGATCACGAGTTCAGGAGATCGAGACCATCCTGGCTAACACAGTGAAACCCTGTCTCTACTAAAATACAAAAAAAAAAATTAGCCGGGCGAGGTGGCGGGCGCCTGTAGTCCCAGCTACTCGGGAGGCTGAGGCAGGAGAATGGCGTGAACCCGGGAGGCGGGGCTTGCAGTGAGCTGAGATCCGGCCACTGCACTCCAGCCTGGGGGACAGAGCCAGACTCCGTCTCAAAAAAAAAAGAAAGAAAGAAACTTCGTAGCAGTATCAAAAAAGCCTGTGTTATATAAGTGGCAAAAAAAAGATCTCAGTATTGTGCCATTGAATTTTATAATGGCATAATTGTATAAAACCAGTAGGTCAACAAAAATTAAAAACTGGACAAAGAAAACTATCCCAAATGTTAAGTCTTTCACTGCGTTTCCCCTTTTAAAAAGCATAGATACTTTCAATTTGTTTTCTGTCTTATATTTATAAAATCAGTGGTACTCATATATAATGCTGTCTTATTCTCCATTAAAAATTCATTGTGCACTTTGGGAGGCCGAGGCAGGTGGATCACGAGGTCAGGAGATGGAGACCATCCTGGTTAACATGGTGAAACCCTGTCTCTACTAAAAGTACAAAAAATTAGCCGGGCGTGGTGGTGGGTGCCTGTAGTCCCAGCTACTCAGGAGGCTGAGGCAGGAGAATGGCGTGAACCCGGGAGGCGGAGCTTGCAGTGAGCCGAGATCGCGCCACTGCACTCCATCCAGCCTGGGCGACAGAGCGAGACTCCGTCTCAAAAAAAAAAAAAAAAAAAAAAAAAAAAAAAAAAAAAATTCAACGTTTATGTTTTGTGCCTTGTAAGCTACTGTTGTGATGAAGTAAAATGTGTAGTTTGTGACAGTGATTTGTTTCTCTCCCTGGGTAATAGTTAACCTCTTTGAGAAGTCAGAAGGTGATCTCTTTAATGCTTTCTTTTTAAGTAAGTTATCTTTTGTATGTTTCATAAAATTATTATATATGTTGGAAATTTTAGAACCATATCAGTGGATGAATTATCTTGCAGTCCTGTGATGTGTAAAATATAACAATATGCTTGTGATTTTTCCTTAGGAACTTTTCAAATTGAGACTAATTGCAGAGGTTCCAGTTGACCAGCATTCATAGGGTAAGATTAACATCCTGAATTATAAACACATGGTAAAGATAATTACAATTAAGTTGGTAGCTTGGGGCAAATAGATACTGAATACTTAGTATGTAAAAGAGATTACTATTCTTACAGATGTTTTGAGTAAAATCTTTCTGAGGTTTTTAAACCAGTTAATAAACAGAAAATTAGATCTGTAACCTTTTAGTAAAAATGTCATCTTCCTACCTTTTGTGGATTTTGTATGCAGGAAAATATATGTGTATATGATATTCGTCATTTTTAACAGTAAAATCTAAGGAATATAATAAATGCCCATGGCAGACTTAGAGTCCATGTCTGTATTTTTCTGATTTTTGTTTAAGGTAGAATTTTTAATACTGCCATAGATTTGGTTTGCTGTATTTCTATTAAGTAAAAGATGGCCATACTTTCTTTGAGTAGGCAAATCAGAAATAAGCCCTATACTCCGTTGCTTCCTGCAAACATCATTCCGTCTTTTGTAATTGCAGAAGATTAATCTTGAGTTAGATTGTAGCAGTGCTTTTAGCTTTGACACAATGAATGAAGAATTTGTACGCTGTATAATAGCACAACTCTCTAATGTTCTGAATACAGCTTAAAAGTGTCACCCAGCTCTGAACATATAGTCTAGATGAATCAGTGGTGAAGATAAGCGGTCTGTCACCTACTGCATTCTAAACACCTTTCTTTTTTACAGATGAAGGTGAAGATCCTTTGACTTCTTAGGTATATTCACATTTCCATTCTGACTCATTGAGTTAACCATAAATTCTTTTTAATTTTATAATTTCAACTTTTATTTTAGATTCGGGGATACATGATCAGGTTTGTTATCAGGGTATACTGCATGACACTGAGGTTGGGAGTAAGGATGATCCTGTCACCCAGGTAGTGAGCATAGTGTACAACAGGAAAACTTTCAGCCCTTGCCTCTCTCCCTTCCTTTCTCCTTTTGGAGTCCCCAGTGTCTGTTGTTCCCATCTTTATATCTATGTGTACCCAATGCTTAGCTCCCACTTATAAGTGAAAAAATGTATTTAGTTTTCTGTTTCTACTTTAGCTCACAGAGGATAATGGCCTCCACCTTCATCCATGTTGCTGCAAAGGACTTGATTTCCTTCTTTTTTATGGCTGTGTAGTCTTCCATGGTGTATATGTACCATATTTTCCATTTTTTTATCTTTTTTTTTAATTTTTATTTTAAGTTCAGGGGTACACGTGCAAGTTTGCTACATAGGTATACTTGTGTCATGGGGGTTTGTGGTGGATATTATCACCCAGGGATTAAGCTGAGTACCCATTAGTTATTTTCCCTGGTCCTCTTTCTTCTCCCACCCTCCACACTTTGATAGGCCGCAGTATGTGGTGTTCCCCTCTATGTGTCCATGTGTTCTCATCATTTAGCTCCTACTTGTAAGTAAGAACACGTGGCTTGCAGAACATTTGGTTTTCTGTTCCTGCATTAGTTTGCTAAGGATAATGGCCTCCAGTTCCATCCATGTCCCTTCAAAGGACATAGTATCATTTTTTTTTATGGCTGCATAGTATGCCGTGGTGTATATGTACCACATTTCCTTTATCTAGTCTATCATTGATGGGCATTTAGGTTGATTCCATGTCTTTGCTATTGTGAATAGTGCTGCAATGAATATACACATGCATGTGTCTTTATAATAGAATGATTTATATGCTTTGGGTATGTGCCCAGTAATGAGATGGCTGAGTTGAATGGTGTTTCTGTCTTTAGGTCTTTGAGGAATTGCCACATTGTCTTCCACAATGGTTGAACTGATTTACACTCCCACCAACAGTGTGTACGCATTCCTTTTTCTCCACAACCTCATCAGCATCTGTTTTTTGACCTTTTAATAATATCCTTTCTGGCTGGTGTGAGATGGTATCTCATTGTGGTTTTGATTTGCATTTCTCTAATGATCAGTGATGCTGATCATTTTTTCATATGCTTCTTGGCCATGTGTATGTCTATCTTTTGAGTAATGTCTGTTCATGTGTTTGCCCACTTTTTTATGGGGTTGTTTTTTCTTGTAAATTTGTTTAAGTTCCTTAAGATGCTGGATATTAGACCTTTGTCGGATGCATAGTTTGCAAAAATTTTTTCCCATTCTGTAGGTTGTTTGTTTACTCTGTTGATAGCAGAAGCTCTTTAATTTAATTAGGTCCATTTGTCAGTTTTTGCTTTTGTTCCAATTGCTTTTGGCATCTTCATTATTAAATCTTTGCCCATGCTTATTGTCCTGAACGGTATTGCCTAGGTTGTCTTCTAGGGTTTTTATAATTTGGGATTTTATGTTTAAGTCTTTAATCCATCTTCAGTTAGTTTTTCTATATGATGTAAGGAAGGGGTCCAGTTTTAATCTTCTGTATATGACTAGCCAGTTATCCCAGCACCATTTATCAAAAAGGGAATCCTTCCCCCATTGCTCGTTTTTGTGTTGTTGAAGACCAGATAGTGGTAGGTATGCGGTCTTATTTCTGGGTTCTCTATTCTGTGCCATTGGTCTATCTGTCTGCTTGTGCCAGTACCATGCTATTTTGGGTTATTGTAGCCCTGTAGTATAGTTTGAAGTCTGGCAATGTGATGCCTCCAACTTTGTTTCTTTTGCTTAGCATTGCCTTGGCTATGCAGAGTTTTGTTTGTTTGTTTTGTTTTGTTTTGTTCCACGTGAAGTTTAAAATGGTTTTTTCTAGTTCTGTGAAGAATTTCAATGGTAGTTTAATAGGAATAGCATTGAATCTATACATTGCTTTGAACAGTATAGACATTTTAATGATAGAGATTCTTCTTATCCATGAGCATGGAATGTTTTTCCCTTTATTTTGTGTCGTCTTCAACTTCTTTGAGTAGTGGTTTGTAGTTCTCCCTAGTTAGCTGTATTCCCAGGTATTTTATTCTTTCTGTGCCAGTTGTAAATGGGAGTTTGTCCCTGAGTTGGCTCTCGACATGACTGTTGTTGGTGTATAGGAATGCTAGTGATTTTCACACATTGATTTTGTATCTGGAGACTTTGCTGAAGTTATCAGCTTAAGAAGCTTTTGGGCTGAGACTATGGGGTATAAGACCATGTTGTCACAGACAGGGATACTTTGCTTTCCTCTTTTCCTATTTGGATGCACTTTATTTCTTTCTCTTGCCTCATTGCCCTGGCAAGGACTTCAATACTGTGTTGAATAGGAATGGTGAGAGAGAGTATTATTATTGTGTGCTGGTTTTCTTTCTTTCTTTTTTTTTCTCTTTTTTGCTAAGGAGTGTTTTACTTCCAAGTATGTGATCAATTTTAAAGTATGTACCATGTAGCAGTGGCAATGAGAAAAATGTATATTGTGTTTTTGGTTGGATAGTTCTGTAGATATCTATCAGGTCCATTTGATTCAGTGTTGAGTTTAGGTCCTGAATATCTTTGTTAATTTTCTGTCTCAGTGACCTAATATTGTCAGTGGGGTGTTAAAGTCTCCTACTATTTTTGATTGGGAGTCTAAGTCTCTTTAAGGTCTCTAAGAACTTGCTTTGTGAATCTGGTGCTCCTATGCTTATGAAGCTTCGTTTGGCCAGATATGAAATTCTGGGTTAAAATTTCTGTTAAGAATGTTGAATATTGACTTCTAATCTCTTCTGGCTGGTAGGGTTTCAGCTGAAAAGTTTGCTATTAGTCTGAAGGATTTTTCATTGTAGGTGACCTGACCTTTCTCTCTAGCTGCCTTTAACATTTTGTCTTTCACTTCAACCTTGGAGAATCTGTTGATTGTGTGTCTTGGGGATCATCTTCTTGTGAAGTATCTTACTGGGGTTCTCTGCACTTCCTGAATTGAATGTTGGCCTCTCTAGCTAGATTGGGGAAGTTTTCATGGATGATATCCTGAAATATGTTTTCCAGGTTGGTTCCATTCTCCCCATCTCTTTCAGGTAAACCAATCAGCCATAGATTCAGTCTTTTTATATAATCCCATATTTCTTGGAGGCTTTGTTCATTTAGAAAGGCCATCCTCCAACTTTGAGATTATTTTGTCCGCTTGGTCTCTGCTGTCTGCCTGTCATTTGAAAGGTGAGAGTGTGATTCAGAAGGGATTACATAGGCAGTGGGTTTTGTTCTACATAGTATGACTTGCTTACTGTGGTGTGGGGTGTGGTCAGGAAAATAGTCTTATAAACAGCAAAAGGTGATGGAGAAGGATTTGAGGTTGTCTTCTCTATAAGAATTATCCAGCAACTCGTGGCTTATGCTTGTGTTCATCTTACAAGAATATGGCTGCTACTTCTTTTATTTTAAGTAGATTTTAGAAAATATAGTAGCTTACTAAAAACTTCAAAGAATTGGGAGATCTTTCCCTAAAGAGAAAAATATTATCTACATTAAATATATGATGTATTCTGTAACTGCCAGAAATAAGTAAAAGTGAAGCAATATTCCTTAAAGTTTAGAACAACTCAAATGTCGGCCGGGCACGGTGACTCACGCCTATAATCCCAGCACTTTGGGAGGCCGAGGTGGGTGGATCATGAGGTCAGGAGATAGAGACCATCCTGGCTAACACAGTGAAACCCCATCTCTACTAAAAATACAAAAAATTAGCCAGGTGTGGTGGCGGGCACCTGTAGTCCCAGCTATGTGGGAGGCTGAGGCAGGAGAATGGCGTGAACCCGGGAGGGGGAGGTTGCAGTGAGCCGAGATCACACCCTGCACTCCAGCCTGGGTGGCAGAGCGAGACTCCATCAAAAAAAAAAAAAAAAAGAACAACTCGGATGTCATTAGGATTTCTATAATTTCTATATTTTTCCCATAGTTTTAATTCACTCAGTAACTTTTTAATTTAATTTATTACTTACTATTTATAGTTATTTATTTTATTTCATTTATTCAGTAACTTTCTCCGAGAGCTTCTGATGACTAGGGTAATTTTCCTAATGTTTAGAGTATTCATCAGATTGTTTCCCAGACCCATTATCTTACTACAGCTTTGGGTCAGAAGCTCTGGAA